GATTTTCTACAATTGCCAAACTTGCTGGTTTAATGGAGCATTCTAGTGACTGAAAAAACCATTTTCTTAGTGACAACTACCAGCTGCATGCAAGTGGTTTGTTTTCGTAGGTTAATTCTCAACAAAACTCTACTTAATTCTGTAATCTCCAAAGCATTGATCAAAAGTCCAACTAACAGACGAATGCGAATGCAGAGTGTCACTTCAAGATTATTATTTAGGAGCTGTAACATGCATACAGACACTTTTGTTCCTTAATCGAGATGCAAAAGAGTATCACTTACAGCAGTTAATCGGCATATCCATCGAGCTTATGCACTCAAAGTAAGAATTACCAAGATTGATGCCCGACACAAACATCATTGCTTTAGTAGCCGCCTGATTGGCGGCGGATATGACTGTCTGAGGTGGGGCCAGCAAACTCTGGTAGCCATGCAGACTCTGGACACTGAACATCAAATCCATGCGCCTTTTGCCGGAAACGCGATGTTTAATCCCAGAATCATATTCAATCTTATCCGTTGAAACACATTCCTCTTCCTCGACGAGATCCACAGCCACGAGGGTCGTAATTGACAGTAACATGCTCAGACGAGTGTCCAGCCGAGGCAAGGGTCCCTCAATAGGATCCCTCTCCTGACAGTAAAAAGGGAAAAAATTACGAAAAAAGTTTTTGAGGTTTGATTATGTCTTACCTATTCTTTTTCGCAAGAAAAAGACTTTTCAAGACCCTACAAGATATTTATAAAACGGTAGGTCTAGTGTTAGGCCGGCTTAACTATTAAGCCGGCATACTCTTTTGACAAATATGCATACATTCATTAGAAAATGTCATTACTTTAATAAACATCATAAACAAAAGTATAACAAAGTATGACATTTTGTTCATGGAGTATGGCGCCTAATGGTTAGGCTGCCTCACCCACGAATCCGTGTTTATAAAATATCATGGCTACCCCCTAAAAAGAACGCTATAGTTACAGAGTGTTAATAATTTTTTTAAGGCCGTTTCTATTTACTGTGGTAATTAGTCCACGCCTCGTGGATATCTGTAATTATCAGAGTTAAGTATCTTTTAGCAATTTGTTGGCAGAGCGAATGGGGAAAAATATAATAAATAAATAAAAATAAGAATAAACATAGTCAAACAATTGTAGCTGTTGGCTGAACATATCTGAGCAAAATAATTAAAATAAATAAGATCCAAAACATGTTTAGGCCTTAAGAACTAAGAGTAAGTATCCACGTTTAAACTCACTCTCTGAACGAGGCGTAGAGCAGCCATCCAAAGCCCAAGAAACACCTCATGCCAAGATGCAGCATTGGTTGCTTTAAGGGACTTCACTAATNAATTCTAAGCCAATACTAAAAGGTTCCACACATATAATCTAATTTGTTGTGTGACAATTTTTACGGACTGCAAAATATTTTCTTGATACCAGTAATAATTTCCACGGCACTTGTTGCATTGACTTGTGAGCCATCCATTGCATCCTCTAGCAGCATGTCTAGAGGAAGCCAAAGGGCCGACTGACTAGTCCCCAGACAGAGACCAGCTGAATGAAAAAGAGGTTTCGATTCTAATACAGAATCAAACTCTTGCCGTATAGTAGCTTGAAAATGCCGAGACTTAATTTTGTAATTATTCGAAATCAACTGCCTGAGAATTTCCAGTGTTGTAGAATTCATGTTGCGCAAAGCTGATGAGTTCTCTAAAAGCAGCTGCATTCGCTGAGTAAAGCTTTCCCAGACTGCATTCCTGATCAGAAGCTTACCATTAATCAAAATGTCCAAAATATTAAACGAATAAATTGACTCTTTATAAAGATAGATGATAAGGCATCAAGAAATTGATTTTCAGGTTTATTCAAAAGAAATCCTAATAAATACAGGATTTATTCATGAATACTCCGAGGAAACATCTATAAAAAAGGACTCTGGATCTGACATGTTTTGGCGAGCCATGAAAAGAATCCCGGAAGTTACTTTGTTCCGCAAAAATTGCCCAATCAACTCAATGGCCATGACGGTATTAAAAGCTTGCAATCTCTTGCTATATTCACTCCTCTTTTCTCCGTAAATATTACTGCCATCTACATCCATGTCTTGAGGCTTAACAGGCCACTTAGGGTCAATATCAGTAAGTTGAAGTAGTTCTTCATCATCAAGTGCTGCATCAACCAGCTGCCAAACGATTGAAAAGATGTAAAGGACTAAAAGAGCACCAGATTCATTTACTTGAATGCCGAATGTCTTAGATAAATCAAGAACTTTATCTAACGCGTTCATGGTCCTGCATGAAGATCAATATGTTAACTAATGTAGAACGTGTTAGCGTATGCAGAACAATATCAAGAAAATAAATGCAAGTACTAACATTGGCAGCAAGGCAAATGAAATCAACGGGTATTCAAAATAATATCAATATTTAGTCGGGTAAGATGGGTAACTGTGATTTCAGTTTGAATAACAAAAGAGTAGAAATTACAGTCACATATTTACATCATGGGGGATAGGTCCTACATACTTTTATAATAACTGTGGAAAATTGTATCTTCTTTCTCCCTATTCCCTTTTTTGTATTTAGAAAACAGATTACCCACTGTTTTAGTAATTAGCAATTGAAGTACCAAATAGCATGTGAATAGTAGAATACTACTTCCAGCAATGGTAAAATCTTTACTCATTAAGACAGAAAATATAATTGGCAAAAGAAGAAAAAATGCTGATAAACATCAAAATACTCACTTCTGATAGTGTGGCAAGTTCATTGACGCCTTCAGAGAGAAAGCATGTCGGTTAAGGAGCTCCATATATAGCCTAAATGCTGCTGGACATGAATGCCGGTATGGAACTACCCTGAGTCGTAGATAATAGAGAAAATAAAGCTAATCAAATGCCACAATCTAATGAAAAATAATATGAGTATCCCAAATACAAAATTAGTTAGGCTTAGAATGCGTCTTAATGCAACTAACACTGAGCTCGGAAATAATGCCCCTAATACGGTGATATGCTGACACTTGTAAGTAAATGAAAATTGTGACTCTCAAAATGTAACAAGAGTACGACAGAAATTTACATATGACACAAACAATCAGTCTTTTGGTTTTCACATTCAAAATCCTATTGATA